AAAAAAAAACAACAAAAAATAGTTAATCAATCTCTAATTTTAATTTAGTAATATTGCTTAAATAACTTGAGCTAAATTTTACGAAAAATTCTGAAAAAAATATATTATTTTTTTTTTTTTCTAAATTGATATTAGCATTTAACCCATACTTCATTCGAAGACATCATTCTAATTAAATTTAAATGTAGAAAGATATTTTGAATCTTAAGTTATGGGTTCACAATTTTTTATATCTACAGCTCAAACATTACTTTATTGGCAAGACCTCTTTTAACACAATAAATACAATTTGTAGCACTGATAGACATTATTTTCAGTAAGTTTCTTGAGTTATAAACAAAGTTGTCAAATAATTAAACTTAACTAAACATGACGAAAATTATTATTCAAACCTAAACTCTAAGGAGGAGTAATAGGGGTGTTAGAACAAAGCGTATGTTTTATAAAGGTAGATTATATCATTATCACTAAGCCCTGTTATAAAATTTCCATCATTTTTCCAAGCTACCTCTAATGACTGAGGTAAATTGTAAAAGTAATATTCATAAAGGTTTCATAGGAATTATAATCAAATAATAATTACTCAATTTATTTTGATTCAATTGTAACTCTGATAAAATACAAACTCTTACCATCTTTATTGTTGAATAATTAGGCCAAGTAAAATTTTTGATTTTTTATTCGAACTTTCCTAAAATTGGTTAATTATATTTTCTAACTTACTTATTCACTGTATATTTTAGAAATTTGTCTTAATGCCTAAAAGATTGATTCATCTATTTAGCAGCCATAATATATCTAAACTGATAGAAATTTTTTAGTAAATACTAGAATAAATTTGAAATCATTATATATTCATGAATATTTATCAGAAATTATACAAAAACTTAAAAATATTTTAATTTCTTTAAAAATTGTAATAAAAATTTTCAGAAATAAATAGCTATTAAGAATATGAAGATATTGGGTTTGAGTAGAATTAAGAATAAAAATTTGCAATTATAGTACTTTGATAATGAAAAAAATATGGTTCTGAGTTTTTTCTGAAATTAAGGTATTTGGGTAATATAAGAAATAGTATCATTTTCATAAAACAATTATTGTTGTGATTTTATTCATATTAACTAAATGTTGATTATTTACAAAGCTTAATGAACTTTCTTTTAAATTAACAAAATAAATTCATGTTTTAAAGATTTAAGTGTTGCAATATGAGATTTTATAATTATTATTTATTTCCTATTTATTTATCTTCAATCTATTCTGTAAATATAATTAAATTAACTGACTTTCAGAAATCTTCTTTTTCTTTAATCTATTTATGTATTCTTGATATGATATCATAGTTTCAATTTTAATTTTATTCACATTAAGAAATAAAAAATTTTGATATCTTTTAAACATATCTTAAACTCCCAGCCCTTTCTTTAAAACCTCTTAATAATCAAATTTAACTTTTTTATTAATCCATAATATCTTTTTAAGAGATACTACTTAATATAATATGTTATACTATTCTTAATTTTATTTATATCTGTTATTATATCTGAAAAGCTATGGTTATTGTTAATTTATATTGGCTCAAAAATTATCCATCAGCTTCTATATGGTTGACGGTAATATGATTTTAATTTCACCTTCTTAAATTCCTTCCTTTTTTAGATGATATTTCTTAAACTAATTAATGATATATTTTCTTCATTTTCAAAATCTTATTGTATATCCCTTTCTGATGATCATAAGCATCAAAATTCGAAATAGAAAAGTTGGCAGAGATACAATTAGACTATAGTGTTCTTTATTTCTGTTGGAAAAAAGGTGACTAAATTATTCCTTGCCCTGTATATGTCAGAGAATTTCTATCAAAAAGCGGTAGAACTTAAAAAAGGAAAGGTGTCTGTTGAGAAAATTTGAATGAAAAATTACAAACGACAGCTTAGCCAAGTTAATAAAAATATTGCTTGTATAATTAAGTAAATTCAATACAAAATCAATAAAGAATAATATGAAAAACAAATCTTTCTCTTCAGCAATCGAAATTAGATGTAAAGGGTAAAAGAAAGGGGAAAAAAAAGCAAAAAGGCAGATGTCTCGCTAGGTTATTAATATATTAATTATATTCAATTTGAGAAGTAAACCTTTGTTTGACTTTATAGTTAGCCAATCATCTTAAAAGAATTAATTTCCGTTATTACAATAGGCTTATCTTCATAAAGTCTCAGCAACAAATATTTGATTGTCTATTGATATTGATATAAAGTATAAAGATCAGAAATATTTGAATTCTTCATTAAAGACTCTTTGGTAAAAATGTTGCTATGATTGATAAGAAAAATACTCTAATTAAGAAAAACAACTGAATTATGCCTCTTGAATAAGGAAATAAAAAACATTAACCCAAGCTGCTATTGATCATCTAAATATAAGCCCACTTGTTTTTAAATTGATATTTTTTCTTGAATCGTCCTCATTAATTATTTAATCTTAATGATTCATTTATTTTATATGGCCCCTATTTTAAAGTTTAAATTAAATATCAAAAATCACCAAATGCTTGATATTTGACTGAAAAAATCCCAAATATATCAATGTTATAATGTTTTTATCAGAACTTTGATATTTTACCAGGTTTGAATACCCTAACTTTTATTAATAATTTTATAAAAAAATTTGGATGCATCTCAAAAATGAGCAACAACAGTCCAAAGGCAAACGGGAATGCTGATGCATTAGCACATTTTTCAAGAAGCTAGGTACAATTATGAAATGAAATTGTTTTAGGAGTTTAAGATTACTTAGAAAATTGAAGAAGCATTATTAATAATGCCTTAAATCTTTGTCCTCAATTTGCCGAAGCCTACACTTTAAGAAGTTAAATGTTTTATATATCAATTAAGGTCAATTATATGAGAATATCAAATTATATGATATGGCATTGGAAGATGTAAATTACAGCATATATTTAAAATTTAATAATAATGCTGAATGTTATTAAAGGGGTATTAATTAAATCTGATAATTTAAGCAAAAATTTATTGGAGAAAAAAAATTTTTGACCCATCATTATAAGATTGTTAGAGGTGTGCTTAGATTAATCCAAACTTTGCAATGTGTTAGAGTAGAATGGGTAATTGAATGAACATAAATTTAAAGGCACTATTTGAACAATTTGAAATAAAAAGAAAATGGGTTCTATTATAACAATAAAGCTATAGAAAATGATGGAAACTGCTATTATGCATTTATGTGTAGAGGTAATTTACAATTTATATTTTTAGGTTCGTATTTTTAAGATCAACAAATGATTGATGATGCACTTAGAGATTTCAATTAAGCTATAAAAATAAATCCAAAATATGTTTTAGCATATTATAACAGAGGTGAATACTATTACTTTTAATATATTAGGCAATTTATACTCTTAAATTAGCAAAAATAATAAAGCATTAAGTGACTATAATCAAGCAATCCAACTTGATCTAAATTTTATAAAAGCCTATTGTGAAAAAAGTTTATCACCATATTATAATTTTAGGTGTTATCTACCTTTGAAATTGAATACTTCTAATAAAATATAAAATTTGAAATAGTATAAAAAGCAAAAATCTTCTTTGATAAATCGATTTTATGTGGCCAAAAAATGGTGATGCTTATTTTAACAAAGGTTTTATGTTAAATATCATTTAGCAATTTCATTAGAATAATTGAACCAAATCGTTTTCGCCATATAATATTATAAAATAGCATTAACATTAAACCATCCTTTTTAAAATTAAATTATTTAGTCAATCAGCAAACTTCAATCATTTTAATGACAATGAACTTTAAAGCAATAGGTTATAATATTTTATTATTTTTACATAATAGGGTACAGAATTACAATTATTAAAATTTTATCTTCTCTTTTATCTATCTAAGCTAAATATCATTTTTTATTCAGTATTTTGAAGATCTCCTAATAAATTTAGGGATTCAAATTATTCGGGGCTGGAATGAACAAAATTCCATCACCTTAATACTCATTTTAAGTTTTCTTATTTACTGAATGAATAAATTAATAACTATATATATAATACTGTCGAGAATAATTTGATAAATTCTTATTGGTAA